CCCCCCAAGTAATAGTCAATGCTTCATAAACAGTCTTTAAGAAAACACAGCAAAACCAGGATGTTAGCGCTTGGTCATTATGATCCTAAATTGTTGCCTGTGGTTATTAAAAATTGAGGGCTGGCCCATGATTCTTGTTAGAAAAAAAATGGGATTAATGGCTGTAGAGACAAAATTTTGTTGAGATTTATGTTTTGAGAAATGTATAGTTTGTTTAGCCTACTGCAATTCTGTTAATACTGGTGAATTTACTTAGTGCTTTAAGATTTCAGTTATTAGAACTTTGGAGAGGGTAAGGATAAAAGTAAGTGTGAAATCAGTGTTTTGAATTTCATCCTAGGTTGGTTTCTGTCACATGGGCAGAATAAGCATTTTAATTGTGGCTAACTCGATTTAGAAGCTTTAACTATAAATGTGCAGGAGGACAGTCTTGTATGTCAACAAGAAACTTCAATGTCTTTGACACTAACAAGAAAAGCATCTTAGATTCTAGTAGGATGTAGATACTATCAGCAAAATACTGCAGCAAACTAGGAAATTATGCAACCTTGCTTTTCGCAGTTCAGATTACTTCAGGTAAAACATCTTATGGCATTTTGTGTGTTGATTGGTTTTTCTTGCGGAAACTAAGAAAAAGCATAAACTGAGAAGAAGCTTTATAGAAGATTGCAATAAACATGCTTATTCTTTGTTTCAGTTTTCCTACTTCTTTTATTAGATATACTTTTTAGAAGTGAAGTGGAAAAGTAGAATTAATTTAACTTGGCAATTATTCTTTATAATGTGAATACTAATTAGTTTCTTTCATTCTTTTCCCCTCCTTTTAATTCTAGAAAATGAAATTACTATTGACGATGGATACTTTGGAATCCGTAGTAAGTGAGATGTATTGACCTTTACTCTTTACCGCGTATTTAATTTTAACAAGATTAAGTGTTGTAGTTGAAAAATATTTGAAATACTAAGTTAGTTTTGACAGGAATTGTCTGTAAGTGATTGTTTTTTCTGCTTAAACAGTTATTTCTGTATCCAGCATTTGTGAATTCACACTGAGGCTGTAATCCTTCTAATGTTAATAAAAGACTGCTAGGAACAGTTGAAATATTGTCAGTGTGCTGGTGTTAAAGGTTGAAATTTGCAAACTTTAGATCATGAGCATGTATTTTTAGAAATACAGAATATAGACTGTTGACTGTTAGCTTTCTCTTAAAACCTAGCCTTAGAAAAAACTCTTGGTGCCTAGAAAAATATTAGTGCTTATACTAAATGTACACAATCTGCCTCTTCAGTTAGGCACATAACTGCCAAAACCTCTCATAAGCTCAAACTTCATGTTCTTGTGTGTGCGTATGTTTCACTTTTGGCAGTTCTAACCCACCTCACACTTAACGCTCAATCCTGTGGTGCCTAAGGTAACTCTTTGTCATGTCTCTCATATCATGTCTTAAAGCTTTTCCATTTTTCTTCATATCCTCATCGAATGATACGTTTTGCTAGGATCTCTTGAAAACTGCAGGGTCTGCTTCAGCACCTGGCCTGGCAGCTTGGGCTTTCTGGCCATCCTGCTTGTAGGCTTTCCTTGTCCTGATGGTGAGGCTGAGGATTCTCCTTCATGCTTTGATTTCCCATCGTATCTGCTACTAGACCCTGTCCTGCAGACTTGATTATGATGAGCTAATTTGACCCCTGTATCTCAATAGAAACAGGGACTCTCAAGTTGCTTGTGAATCTTCAGAGTTTGTCAGTGTTATTCCATGCATTGAGAGATCCTAGGACAAGAGGATGTTACATTTGCCTTTGGAGACTTAACTTAGCCCTTGATACCATAAATAAAATTAACACTGGAATACTTGGTGCTCTCCTGCAGACAGTTTACACATGAAGCTGTCGAGGATCATTGTTCTTATTTAATCCCCTTAAAAGCCAGCAAACAACTGCAGTATCTGTTGTCTCTTCTGGGTAGTTCAGAAAAGGCAGGTGAAAGGATGCACTCAACAATTGCTCTGGAAAAACTGTTGAATAAGGCTGGTGATAAGGAGGATAAGGAGGATTGTCTAGATGGCGTCAGAGGAACTGTATATTTTGTATATTAAACTGTCTAGATCTCCCTAAAATTTAAGTTAAAGTGTCTACTACTTTTTAATTTTTGATAGATGGTATTGAAACTGTGGATGCTGGGTGGCTGACATGTCAAACAGAAATAAGATTACGTCTGCATTATTCTGAGAAACCACCTGTAGTGATATCTAAGAAGAAATTTAAAACATCAAGGTTTAGGTAAGAGCCTGCTCATCTCAGTTTGCAATTTATCTCGTGTTAATTGTCAATACTAGTGATTCTTTTTTACTCTATTAATGTAGCCTTTAAATTAATTTTGGGTTGCTAATATGGGTGTACTATCAGGCCAATTTCCAAGTATTTAAGCACTTTGTAAAAATATGGTGATAACATTAAATCAGTGGGGTGTTTTTTCAGTTACCTCATTTCATTATTAATGTAGTGTCAAGAGTTTCTTTTGTTTCAAAGCAAGACAAACAATCAAACAAAACTATTGTAGTTTCACTGCTGACTTAATACTTTTCAGCTCTTGCCTTCCTGATAGTTACTAAGCTATTAAATATGTAGAAAGCAGATGTGGTAGCACAAGTTAAGCAGTAGGTAACAGGTGTCTTTCATAACTACTTATTCCGTACTTGCCATGGTGTTTCCTGCTTCTTGGCTGGAACTGTAGTGTTCTTAAGTAGCTGTCTGCTGTTACTTTCAGAGAATTTTCTTCTTTGTTCTTTTTTCTTAACTTCTCAAAAAGAGCAGAATGGAAGTGGAAGTTGGGGGAAGGGAAAGGGAGAAGGCTTCCAGGTTTTTTGTTGCTTACTACTTTTTCTCCTTACCAAAGTAAACAGAATTACATGGGTAATTCTCTACTGGCATTACAGATTTCCAGTCAACATGTGTGGTGGAGATAATAGCGTTGTCTAATCACTTGTGTTGCTATTTAGATCAGTCTGATGTTTCTATCTGCAGAGGTGTCTCAAAAAGCAAGCATTATTATAGTGATACAGTTGACTGACAGAAGTGGGTATCTTAGTCCTGACGTTTTGAGGCCGGCACTATTGCCCTGAGTGTTTGATCTCCTTCCCCTCTTGAATTTCTGGGATCTGGAGCTTGCTCTCTCTTCCCTGCCTCCCCTCCTCCCTGCCCCCCCATCCCTTTCCTTTCTGCGTGTGGGTGTTTTTTTTTCATTTGAGCTCTGTGGGTGCCAAACTTTGTCCCAGCACGTATCATTGTACTGTGTGGTGTAGCCTTGTTTTCTGCATCTTTCACAGTCTTTTTTTGTGGAAAAAGAGTTGAAACATATAAAAACTTCTTCTCCTTAAGCAGGGCCTGAGACATCTCTGAATGCATGACAATTGTTACTACTAACAAGCCTCAGCAAAAGTGCTTTTTCAATTGCAATTTCAACAGCAATTTTTAGGTAGTATGTTAGCCATGTGTTACCCTTACCAGTGGGAACGAGGGGAACAGGAGTGCTCAGATCCTTTGACAGACTAGCAGTGTTTCTCCCACTCCTAATCTTGCATACAACCCATCTTCTTGTTTAGAAAGGATTGTGGTTCCCTGTTTTCTTTAATGGAAAACATTTAAAAAAAAAACCAAACAAACAATTTTGTTCTTAACTGCTAGAAATCAGATTTTGAGCTTGTAACATATGAGCAGCTTCCAGCGCACCACTATCAAAGTGATCTACACATCACTTGGTTAACCTGGGAGTTTAATTCTGTACTGTGTACCTTATTTTGATGGTCTGATACTTGATTTTTTTTTTTTAAATTCTAGTTTTACCCCTGAACTCTTCTGATGAGGGGAAAGTATATTTAATACAACATTCTTCAGTGAGAATTAATACTTGTGTCCTGTTTTCTAGAGCCTTATCTTTTCCTTGCGTATTACAGCAGGTAGAGAGAGAGCAATTTCTGAAGCCTGATCCTTGTCTAAACTAAGTGGTTGAAATCCAGACTTGATGAGCTGGACGCATTGATTAGATACTCTGTTTTCAACATTCTGCCTAAAAAGTTAGATGGCTTTTGTGACTGTCACTTGCTATGGCAGTGTCATTTTTCAAGTTTTTGGAGCATCTGTGTTGTGCTTTCTTTTTTCATGAGGTTATTAAGAATGTGGACTTAGTGTAAAGGTTTTCTATGATTGTAATTGTTTCTTTGAGATACGACTTCAGTTATACTAGTGAATTGGCATCTAACTAAATGATAACTCTATCCCATCTGCTGCTTAGATGATTCAGAAAGGTATTTGAATTACTCATATATGCTTCCATCACTGGTGTAATTCATTCTGTGTGGAAGGCTTGCTCTGTGTAATAATGAATTCTGAGTCTTAGAGAGGCTTATTCTTCTTAGTCCAGGATTTTTCAGAAATTGCATTCAGTTTACTATTAAATGATCATTTAGGATTTCTCATGGGACTTAAATATATTTTATTAGACATAAACAAGATAGTCTGAAATAATTATCTGCCTTACTGGTATTCAGAGAGACTTAAAATTGTATGTATGTGCTTATCAGGAGCCACCAATGTTCAGGTATTGATCTTGATGATTACTGCTATTTTCAGTGCTTTGCATTAGCCTTTTGGCATTATGGGTATCAGTCTGTGGAGAAAGGCTGTCTCTTTGGCAACCCAAAGAATTAGCTTGGTGGAGTCCTGCTTCTCAGACCATTATGCTGCTTCTCAGACCATTAGTACAGGTTTTACATTTATCCAAGTTCCAGTTTTGGAAGTGACTTGAGTGCTTAAATCTGACTGAAATAAGATCCAGGCAATAGTTACAAACTCTGACTTTTGTGAGGGCCAACTGTGTACACTGCTCTCCTGTAGATGGTGGTGTTGAGGAGAATTCTTGTGCTGTATGAGCTTCTGCTCAAGCTTCTTTCTAATTCTTCAATATTTCTAATGACACTCCTGTGACTTAACCATTTATTTTGTATTTCTGGTTGACTAGAGTAAAATTGACTCTAGAAGGCCTAGAGGAAGATGAGGATGATGAAGAGGGCCAACAGAAAACATCCCCCACTGTCCCTCAGAAGATGGCAAACACTGTGGAGTTCTCCTTAATAAGTAACACCGAATATAAATGTCGACACTCTCAGCCAGACTGTGGCTATGCTTTGCAGCCAGACCGATGGATAGAATACACTATACAAACTATGGAGCCTGATAACTTGGAATTAATCTTTGATTTTTTTGAGGTATGTGTCTTTACCACTAAGAAGCAACTCCACTCTGCCTTCACGAGTTAAAGGAGTCAGTTATCATGAAGATTTCACTATTAGGATAGGGCTATTGCCTGATATTCTTGATCTTTTAGACTTGTGTAAACAAGTTATGAGACTATTGGCTACTGCACCATTTTGCAGAAAGGTTTTGTGAGTCTTCTCAGTATGGTACAGAAAGCTTTGCAGTTTCTGATTATTTAGAAGTTAGTACAAATAAGACTCAAATCTTAGTGTGCAGTACTGCATGTTGTTACGTTGGCTTGATTTTTATCCTTTACCAGAGATCAGTTTTGCTTATCCTTTTTTAATCTGAACAGTGTGTAATGAACTAGTTAAATTACAACTATTTGATCTTGATTTTTAAGTTATAAACAAAGAGATTTTTCTGAACTAACTAGTGCAAATTAAAACTGGGTGCTTCCCAATTCTCACTACTGTGTTTATCACTACTATCCTGATTATCACTACTGTAATATCTGTTGTTTTGCACTCTTTTTTTCTGAAAGATTTTAATACTCCAAGTCCTTTTTAAAAAGAAAACTACTTTTGTCACTTCATACTGTTTATGCAGAAGAAGGTTTTAAGCATTCTCTCTTCAGTCTAAAAATACCCTTACATCACTTATGTTCATAATTGTAAGGTGACTACATAGTTCCTGAACATGATGATGGTCAAGAAATACATGTTCTGTTTGCTAGTTGCCCTCTTCCTTCCTTGCACATGAATATAATGTTATTTTAAGCATATATATTATTCCAGTTCATCTTTGTTCTAAATGACTTGGGCTTTTTAGAAGGCAGAGTATTCCATGCATGCAATTTTGATCTGAAAGCTTGTCAAGTCTAAGAGTTTTTCAAAGTCAAATATACATGATTTCCTAGATTTCCATCAACAATTTCATGTTCCTGATCATAACTTGCAACATGCTGTTATCGTAAACAATTTTCAGCCTGAAATTATTTTTTCTGTTACACACAAGAAGTTTCTTTTACATCAGTGCCTGTATATATCTTCCTGAGGAGCAAGGTTTCCATAAGAAAGAAGAGTGTATTTAGCATTCTCACCTACAAATAACAGTAGGTGTTTTGGTTTTTTGTTTGTTTTGTTTTTAGGAAGATTTAGGTGAGAAAGTAGTACAAGGTGATGTGCTCCCAGGTCATGTAGGTTCTGCCTGCCTCCTGTCATCCACAATTGCAGAACTTGGAAAGCGTGCTGGAGTTCTTACACTTGCTATTATGAGCAGAAATCCAAGGAAGACAATCGGAAAAGTTAGAGGTACAGTTGATGCAAACAGATGTAGATAACCCTACTGGAAGTCATCCATTCTCTATTGACATGTGAAACATTTGGTATTTTTCTCGTAGTGGACTACATAATTATTAAGCCGATCCAGGGCTATGCTTGTGATATGAAGGCTTCATATGCAAAATATTGGAAACCAAGAACAACTCTAGATGTTGGACACAGGGGAGCAGGAAATTCTACAACAACAGCTAAGTAAGTTAATTTGTATTTCAATTTGGGTGGGGGTATGTTTTGTTTCACTGACACCAATTGAGGAAGCGGGCAGTTTAAAATAAAAAGCTACAACCCATAATCATTTAAGTCAATTCAATATCAAATGTGGATGTTCTGTAAAACAAAGACTTCTGATTTGTATTTCTGTTGTTTCAATGGACTTCTGTGCCATGCTGCATCTAACAAAACCTTTTTCTTTGCTGTTATTTCAGACTTGCTAAAGTTCAAGAGAACACTATTGCCTCTCTGAGGAATGCTGCTAGTCACGTATGTACACACATCTGCATGCACATAGGACCCATATAGTTAAAACTTGCTTGGCTTGTCTGCTTAATTCCCATGATTCAGTACAATGAGTGGTAATTGCAGTGATATAAAATTAACATCAAATCACCATGGAAGTTCCTCAAGAGATAGGAAGGAAAGTAATAGCTAGATTAGACTCTCATTCTCAAGTTCCTCAAAAAAACCCCCAACTTCCATCTAATATGTTCTGGTGGCGTTTGAACACAGGGAAAACTTTAATCTCAACCCTGCAGAGACATAGGGTTGGAATAATTTTGAACAAATAAATAAAATTTTGGCTATGCTAGAGTCTCTCAACATACTCTTTCGTGGCAAAGGTCTCGCTCAGGAACTGCTGAGCACCTAAAATTGGTGTCCAAAAATCAGATGTGGGAGCTGAGCTAGTAGAGTAAAACAATCCTTTGTTTCAGCGTTTGCTACAATGAAGACTTTGAATCGTAAGATGAGACTTTTCAGTTTGGGAGATAGTAGCTTCAGGTGCTTCAAGTCTGTGATTGAGGTAGTCACTTTTATTCCTTCCAATAATCTCAGTCACTGAAGTGATCTGTGATAAGATTGATTTAGACAGTCTAGTGAGACACTATAGCAGAGTAGCTGGAGTCAGAAGCGGTTTCAGAGGTTTCTTGTGAAGCTTCTGTTTTCACAGTGAAGAGCTGTGGTTACAGTTACATAAAAATACTGCTATGACATCACCTGTCGCTTGACTTCTAGAGTTCCTAAGCCTTTTTAGGTACTTCTTCACTGATGTAGATTCTTACCGAACATTTTTTGAAGTTGTTAAAGGGATAGGAGCAGAATCTGGAGTATTATGCTTACTGGCTACTGATCCTGGAGTACTGTACTCCCCAAGAGTCGTAGCTGAAAGCTTTCTCTTGTTTGGAAGTCAGAATATAGTTTGAACACAGTGTCTGGAACATGCACTGACTGCAGAGCAAAAGAAAACTGCAGCTACTAAATGATCCTTTTGAACAGTAGTTCTTAATTTCTGGGTGGATGCTGCAGGTTTATAGACAGCTTTTAAAAAGCCCACAAGAAGTATGCGTCGAGGCAGAAATTTACTATGAAGTCAGCAGCGGCATCATCACCAGAAAAGTACTTTCAACTATTTGCAGATTTCAATCTGCCAATGCAAGCCACCACTCTAAAAATATTTCTGCTGAGAAAAGGGCTGAAAAAAAAGGCTGTCCTATTTTCTTTCTGTACTGATTGAAAAAGAGTAGGCGAGTCAGGATGATAATTTCATGAATGTTATTCTTGGAGGCATTTCAAAGGAATGCTTTACAGAGAGTGAAAATAAGTAACAAAAATTGTTTCTGTATGTTTCTCTATCTGTTTCTCTCTGGCCCTCTTTTCAAAAAGATTGTATTTAGAGCTCTTGTTTGATCTTTCTTCCTTTCTAAGCTTAACAGAAAATAACATACAGTTGAAAAGGATAGGAGAATGCTGGATATAACTCTTTGTGCTCTTGCACATGTTATAACGATACTACTGTGTTATTCACTAGTGACTCCAGAAGCCCCTCAGCATATGGAATATCTCCCTAAAGCTTTGCCAATTTGTAGCAATCACTTGTCTCTTGGGGTGGTGGGGAGGAGGGAGGAAGGGCACTGCAAAGGCATCTATGTTTTTAAATGTCATCTTAGCCTTTCTCTGAAATCAAGTTTACAATACTTGAATATTACTAGAGGGGTTACAAGATTAAGCAAGCTATATATATCAGAGCTGCATTATGGTAATTAAAATACTTTCCCATGATTCTTTTCATTTCTAATCCATTGTTGAGTGTGATTAAAGTGGTAACAACCAGTTGCATTCAACTTCTGGTTGATGTCCAGGACCTGTGAATACTTGGCAACTTGTCTGCAGTTCTGTAGTCCTTGTGCATAAATAGTTAATGGGTTTTTGTTTTATTCTGTGTGTTTTCCAATCTTTTGTAGGGAGCAGCATATGTGGAATTTGATGTACATCTTTCTAAAGATCACGTGCCTATTGTATACCATGATCTTACATGTTGCATGGCCATGAAAAAGGTAAACAAGCTGATATCTGTATTTTATCTTTAAATGTGACCATTCCAGAAACTAAAATGCCAAGTTCTCATGGAAATAATTCTGTGGAATCAAGGGATGGAATGGGAGTAAATATGCAGTGTTACTGTGTGCATAAAGTAGAGCAAGGAAGTTAAGTTGAGTTTTTCCTTTTGATGTTGTAACAACAGCATTTCAGATGCATGGTTTGAGACTCTTCAAGCCTACATTGTAGTTGGTTTTTTTTTTAGCTTTTTTTATTTATGGTTTGGAAGAAAAATGCAGACAACTCCACTATATTCAGTAGCACCTCTGAGACTCTTCTAGACTGTCAGAGTAAGAACTTCTGGTTGTTTCTTTTTTGAGGAAGAGTTAGCGTGATCCTCAGCATGACTTCTCACTCCTGCTGATACTTAAATGTATACTTCTCTTAAGCAGTTAATGCTCTCTAGGTTAAAACAAAGTCTACCTTGTTTGGTATCCCGGTAGCGGCCAGTAGATGGAAAGCAGAAAAGTGGAAGAAACAAGGATCTCCTTCACTTAGGGAGTTTGATTAGCCACAAATGGCTTGGCTTCCATTAGTTTTTCTAACTCTTTCTTTAACCCTTTTTTACTTCTACATTTTTCTCTGTCCTTTAACTGTGAGGTAAACAATATACTTCATGTCTCATTGAGACAGTAAGTGAGGCTAAGAACTGCTTTTGGATTGCTTGGTGGAACAGAAGGAAAGGAGTTAAGACAGAGGTCCTAGGAGCAGGAAAATGGCTCTTGAAAGCAAGTTCTGTTCCTTTCCTTGCTTACCTGATGAGGTTGCAGTTGTTGTTCCTTCTTTTTTTAACCAAAACCTCCTTTCTGCTGTTTCTGTAAGCATCAAGGGTACTATAACACTGTTCACTGCTTCTTACATTACTCGTACATACAGATAAGCATTCCTTAAAAGGTGCTCTGAACAGACTATCACAATACCTCTTAAATACCCAAGTTTTATGAAGCATAACAATTGAATGTTTTCATGGAGTAAAGTGACATGACACTCCTTAATAATGAGAGAACCATAGGCATAAGGACTGGGGACACAAAAAAACCCACGGAGGTGCTTTTCTGTATGGTCTGTTGCATGTTCTCCACTGAGGCCAGAATACTTACATTCAGCAGCAGTGCAAGGAGGTTGGACTGTTCCTGTTCTAGTTTTCTTCCTTTCTAGTTCTGGCAGTGAATAACAAAGATGGCAGACTGCAATATAAGTTCTCTCTTCTTGGCACTAAGTCAGTGTCATCAAACTCTCACACCCATTACGATATTGCAGTTTATATGAAGTTTGGTTTTGAACAGTTGTGGAAATGGAACTTTGATTAAGGGAAATGCATAGTGTATATTGAATCAATATTGCCTTGTTGAGTAAAAATTTCTTTATAGTGAAGAGGAGAAATCAAAAATGGATTGACAGAATTTTTTTTACACCAGATCTTTATTTTAGGGGCAGGGTGTCTGTGTCTCAGTTTTACCAGGACACTTGTCCTTATTTTATTAGTTTCTGAGACATTGGATGGACAGTAATAAACTGAACTGCCTTGGAGTATTTTTTTAATACGTTTCTTTACTTGCACACTCTTCCTGAATACAATAACTAGTTAGGTTTTTACAGAACAAATATGCTAACCTCTTCAGAAGAAAGAACATTGAAGCTTCTGACTTGAATGAAAGACCAAATCCGGGTGTTTTTTTTTTTTTTTTTCAAATTGACGTCTGTTTTATGCTTCTGAGTGCCTATGTTGTCTCCTGAAAACTGATAATCTTACTCTTATTATAATAAAAGATATCACTTGTATCTTTATCAATGAAAGAGAAAAAAATTAGTTGCCTTTGATGTTACCATATTAAAAGCCTGTAGGCTTTTTTTGTAGTTTTCAGTGATGCTTAATTATGTATTATTTCTCTTCAAAGAAACTGGATACAGAGCCTTTGGAACTGTTTGAGATTGCAGTCAAAGAACTCACGTTTGATCAGCTGCAGTTATTGAAGGTATTGTTCTTTGGCTAGTATGACATGCTATGTGTAGAACTTTAAATGGTGTATGAAGCTTAGATTTTTGGTGTAACTAGATAGTTTGGCAGAGCACAAGTTTTAAAAATTGTACAAGTAGAACGAGTAGCTAATTCCAAGAATAGTACTTTTGGACCATCATTACAACTTGAATGAATCTCATTACTTATCTTCTAGAAAGATGGTCTGACAACTTGTGTAGATCCATATCACTATGCTAACATTGATAATCTTTAAAAAAATAAGAAAGGCTGAAAGTGGTAGGGTTCATTGAAAGCCAGTGCTTTGGCATCTTTGTTGAAGAAGATAGATACCTGTCATAAAGTCTATCTAATTTTCAAATGTTTCCCTGTTAACAAGGGAGATCCAGATTATGTTGAACTCCTCTTTGGAGGTGCATATGGAGGTGTAAAGGGTCCATGATTCAATGGTATGGATTGGACAAACTGGCTAGACATAATTGGTTGTTTTTATTTAATTGGGTATCACTGTATCTTCTGAACAGAAGTGCCCTGCCTACTTAAAAGGGGGTTGGGGATGAGACTGGGCCACTGAAGACCCAGCTGAGATATCTGTCCTCAGTCAAGGAAGCACCTGGCTGATCCAAGAACTACATGTTTCTTTTTACTTAAAATTACTTGGTATCCTCCTTTTTGTGGAGAGAGAATTTGAATGGAGTGAGGGAGCTGGCCCTATGCCTGGCCTGGTTCTATCTCAGTATGTGACTACACTATAAAACCGCTGTTGGCCCTCTGTCTGCACTTGATGGAAACACATCTGACAGAGGAGGGTTTAATGTTCAGGCGTCTTCACATCTTAATGTTAAATTATATTATGTGTGTTTCTACCCTTGAATATGTATTCTGAATTTTCAGTAAGAACATTTTCAGTTTGGCTTTGAGCTTTCCTTGGAATCTTTGTTTTAAAGTTTGAAAGAAAACTGTGATGTGTGCTAGTATTTCCTTATTCTTTTACAAATTACTAAAACTGCAGACCTTTAAACTTAAAAACAATTTGTAAGGAAAATTAGTTATATTTTACATGTAGTAAGATCTCTATGGGTGGAGTATTTGTTAATTTTACTCTTCTTATGCTCTTCAGCTGGCTCACGTGACTGCCCTGAAAGTAAAAGATCACAATGGTATGTACTAGTTTGCAAGAGTCGTGAGACTTATTTATTCCCATGTACTCTGTGGTTGCAGTCACTTGTTCTAATCACATTTGGCTTCTTCCGAATGTTTCTAAATGCTTACGTAGTTACTTTAATTTTGTGCGTGCTATAGAGTTCTTTGGGAAGTAAATACCTGGACGGGAGTTACTCCCTTGGGAAGAGGGGACAGGAGGGTAGAAGATGAATGTGTAACTAAATATATATTTATGAATATTCTTAATAAAATTGCTACTAATGTTTCCATCTTATGCTTCTCTAACTGTACCTTTTTGGCAGCTCTTCAGCATTGCTAACAAGAACTATGGTAACTGCTGTAGTGTGTCTTATTGGTGCTGTAAATTTTTGGCCTTAATTCATCCCCTTTATAGGGACAGCAAAATCAAGCAAAGTATCTCACACATCCTACCTGTCTGGGAAAAGATAAAATAAATAATAAGCCTTGACAGGCAAGGCTGCTTCTAGTGGATGTGATTCAGTGACTGAAACCGTGAGGAATGGGGGAAGCTGCTTCTGATAAATATTCTGGCAAGGCTTTTAATGGGGTGGGTCAAAAATCTTTCCCACTGGCAAAACAGGAATTGCCAACACTATCCTTGGAATACATCAGTGTTAGAGGGAAGGCTTAGGTAAGCCTAAAGACAGACCTGACTCCATTCTTTACTCTTAAAGGCCTTATGGTTTTGAGCCAGTCTTTTCTTGCTGGGATTAGCAAGATCTGTTTTGATTCAATATTTTGTATTTCTTTTCAGCATCTTTTAAAGATGAAGAAAACTCTGCTTTTGAGACCCAGCCATTTCCTTCTCTGCAGAGAGTAAGCAGTGAATATAGAGCAATAGAGATGACGGCTGTGGAACATAAAAACATGTGTTTTTCTTTCAGCTTTGCACACATAGCAAGCAATATTAATTTTTGGTTCTAGGCCTCCCATATCAATGCTGGAACTGAGAACACGAGCTATATTGTTGGCTCCTGGAGCCTTTTCAGCACTTAAAAGTAATATTTTGCATATCTTTCAAGCTTCTTAATTCACAAACCCAAGTTTTATAGCTCAGGATACATTCAGTTTTACAGCTAGTTAACATCTGGGCATTGCATTTTAAAGCATTGACAATTGTTTGTTAATTTTGGAAAAAAATCCTGGCCTTTGGCAGTTCATTCAATACTCTTGGCCATGCAGCAGAGCCAGACCCAGAGAAATTGTGAGTTTCTAGCGTGTTCCCATTCATGACTGCTAGCCAACTCTGGGCTTTGTGTTGGCTTATTTTTCACAGAAACAACTGACCAAAAGCCAGTTTGATACTGTCTACAGTGTTTTTTTTTTTTCTAGAACTTCTCCCCACCCCCCCTTGTGTTTTTCCTAATGTCTGAACTGCTCATTAACATGCCTTTTAGGGATTTGTTTTATACAATAGTACTGCTTTTTATTTGGATTATGGAGATGATTAGTATCCAGTTATTTATAGGCTTATGTCAGAGCATGTATGAAGTGTCCATCAGTTACAGGGCATACGCCCAACTGTATTTTTTTACTGTCTAATCAGATTACTGTGTAGCTACAGAAAATAAAGAACTTTGTGTAATAGACTAAACTGCTGAGGTTCAATTCCTCTACCTGTTTTGATTCCCCAAATTTAATTTTCTTCCTATAAGAAAAGGTATGTTACTCTCTTCTGTACCTGTCATCTTTACAGGGTTCCAGAATCATCTACCAACATTTCTTTCATTTCATTAGCTGTTAGTTTCACCTTTTGATTTGAAGTCACCTTACAATTAATTCTTTACAAGAATTTCACATACTTTTGTTCTCATCATCATAATGGCAAGCTCACAGATTTCATACTTAGGACTATGTGCTACTTAAGGTACTGTTTGCATTCAGAAAAAACTTCCTGGAGAAGTAAAAAAACTTCCCTTCCCACATGTTAAGGTGAATTGACTTGCATTTTTACCTTGTCAAAATTAGGTTCTTAAGATTTTATCCATTTTTATGTATTTCCTAGCTTTAAACTAAAGGAGAAAAAGGTGTATATGTATCTTGTATGAAATGTTAAAAACTTAGGGTTTTTTTTTTTATTCTACTGTTAGACCCCATAGGCGTTAAATTCCAATGTACTTTCCCAGTAGTTAGCCTCCTAGTGCTTAGTTGTCCTCCTTTGCTGTAGGGTCTGTTCACAGTGAAGTTTTTTTCAGGTCCTGGAGTCTGTTTCTGAAGATGTTGGGTTCAACATAGAAATAAAATGGATCTGTCAACAAAGGGTAAGTAAATGCACGTGTGATTTGCTTTGATAATTTGTCATTCTCGTGGCTAAAGCTTGTAATTTGACATGGCAATTCATGAGCTACAAACAAAGGCATAATTTTGAGTTTTTTTGTGACTCTTTGTTTTATTATAACCCACTGGCTTTAAAACTGGGAGTATAATAGCACTGCTCTAGCAAATGAACAAACTTACTCTTAAAACAATAGAAGTATTTATAGGACTGAGTTCATAATGAACCTGAGACTGCTTTTAGTAGAAGACCCTTTTTAAAGTCAATGAATTACAACAGGTCAGCCATGCTGTATATGGGAAAAACGACAAGAAATTCAAATTCTTCTGGCCTGGTGCAGGAGCAGCTACAACATGATGCAGTGTTACAATCAACTGTTTCCTTCTAGTCAGCAGTACTGCAGACTCAGCTGGATTATTTAGTGCTTGGTCTAGAAGGAAATGTCAAGGCTAGGACTGGAAGCCTGGAGTGGGAGAAAAACTAAGCAGAGTGGTTGGTTGTCGTGGTTTAGCCCCAGCCAGCAA